TGCACTACAGCGGAGTCATTCTCGACAACAAATATTTATTTATTAGAACTGCGAGGGCTGTCAGTTTTAATGTTTGTACACAAGCTGTTTGACGGGCTTATCGAAAAGCATCCAAAAAGTTTCAGTGCCGGCAACAACTTAGAAACGGGGGAAACGTCACTTTTTCTCGTTCTTCCCATAGAGTCCCGTGCATTGGCTGGTGTCAATCAATGGCCGCCGGTGGCGACACTCGGCCCCGGCTGCCGAGGCCGCGGTCCGCGATCCAGCCTACTACAATACAGGGGGACGCCTTTTTCGGAGGTCGATACGGGGCCACGACGTCCGTGACGTCACTGCCGAAAACGTAAAAACAAGCGAAACTTGTTTTTACAAGTTTGGTAATGAGCTGCCACAGACTGTTAGAGACTGTTGGCGGAGACTTTATCCTACTAGCCTGTTAGGCAGATTCCTTAAACTCTGGGTTGGGCTAACCGGAAACTATGTTGAATATACCTGAGACTGGGGTAGAAAAACATAAAAGTCGAAGAAACAGAACGGGACAGGACGACGTCTCAAACTCAGCTACCAGGTTTATTCAGTCCTCCTCCTTATATAGTCCACAAACAGCCCACCACCAACACAAAGGGGCAACTCTAACCAGTTCAACCGCCAAACCCTCCAGACAGTCACTACCAACACAAAGGGACAACCTCTAAACAGTCCAAACGCCAAACCCTGTAATTCCAAACTAGCGCTATGGACGGCCTTCATGCCGATTCACAAAGAAAATTCAGCAATCTCCCCCAAAATATAACAAAAGGACCATTACCTCTTCCAAAGTAACAAGGATCCACAAACACACACAAAAAGGAGCCTGCGACAGACTTTGGACTCTTCTCCTGGGAGATGATTTCAAGTACCAACGGGAGTACCATCAATGGACCAGCAGCAAAATAACCCTGTTCGACCGACTATGGTATGTGAAGCGCAGACATGTTTTGGACAGTCTAAAAAACTCAAAAATTGTTAATAATGGGCCGCAAAAAACGTGGTTTGGGATTGATGCATGGCCTAAGTCTCGACAGTCTCCTATCAATCCATGTGGGGAAGCGTTAACACGCGAGACGGAGGAAGTGTTAGCTAAGGGACCGAAGTGTTGTTTAGATGTAAAACCCTCGAGACTTGACGTGTTGTCTACCATTCACACTGTGGCCAGAAAGGTCGTCCCGGAAGAAAAGGTCGCTTTTATAGATCACGCTATTAGTAGGATGGAGAAAGTCATGGGAGAGGCGTACCCGAAGGACAAAAGAAATTTCAGAGAAGTTAACGCGGTTAAGAAGGAGTTAGAAACGAAGTCCCTAAAACTATTGGAAACGGATAAGTCTGGAACGTTTGCCGTCTTGCCAATGGCAGTATTCAAGAAAAAAACAGAAGTTGCAATGGAATCTTTGTTTTCTGAGTGGGCGGGCAATGTAGGAAAGTTGAGAGGGAACATTTGTGCAATCCTGAATGAAGACGACTTTAAGAATGTAGCAAAAAGTATCACGAGTGCTACAAAATCGACATTAAGTATCAAGTTCTTTCTCAAGGACCATAAGCCTGAAATGCCTCTTCGTGCGGTCATCAACGAGAACGGAACCTGGCAGAAAGTAGTTTCAAAGTTTCTCCAGCGAGGGTTGATGTATGCATGCCTAGATAATTTTTTGTCTCTAAAAAATTCAAATGAACTGATTGACATGTTGGAAAAATTTCATGGACAGCAATGTTCTGTTGTGTCCATGGATATTAAGGACCTTTATTACTCGCTAGAAAAGACTCGGTTGATGCAGAGAGTGAGAGAGGCATTGGAGTTGAATCTCGTAAAGTTCCAAGCAGGTTCAGGTATATCCGTAGAGAGTTTCCTAACGATCCTTGAGGTTTACCTGAAGTCGACGGTAATCGAGTACGAAGGAAGGAAGTATGTTCAAAAAGACGGGGTTTGTATAGGTTCGTCGGTCGCACCGATTTTGGCGGAAGTGTACTTAAACTCCTTGGATCGAGTAGTGCATAACAGACTAAAGGAGAAGTCCCCTGGTATGGCGTTAGTAAGAAGATATGTAGACGACATCATAATTTGCACGGTAACAAATGATCTAACGGGCAGTCTGGAACGCGAGATAAGGTCAGCGGCTCCGGAATTGAAGTTTACTACGGAAAAACCAGAAGGAGGGGTCCTAGAGTTCCTGGACTTACGTATACATGTAAATCAAGGGGTATGTTGGGAATACGGAAAAGAAAGTTCTAAACCGGTGTTGCCAAGGATTAGCTGTCATTCCAAGACCGTAAAAGCTGGGGTTGTAAAGTCGTTGGTCAGAAACGCGCTGGACAGATCGTGTGTTCATTTCATCACGGATTCGGTTAAAAGACAATGCAAAAGGTTGATCAATGTAGGGTATAAAGACAGTTTTATCAAACGGCAGTTAGAAATAGTTATTAAAGGAAGGAGAGAAAAGGAACAGGGTAAAAGGACTGGATTCGCCGTGATCCCCTATTTTCATGAAATTTCGCACAACTTGAAGGCTTGTGCGAAAAAGTTTGGAGTAGACACGGTCTTCAGCTCAGATTTTAAACTTAGTAGATTGACGCCATTCCAGACAGGTGCGAACAATGGCAGAAAGAACCATCGAGAAAAATCGGTAGATTGCGAGAATGGTGTGGTGTATGAGATACCACTGGAATGCGGGTTTAAGTATGTAGGACAAACATCACGATGCATCAACGACAGATTAAGTGAACACAAAAGAAACGTGAAGAACAATGCACCGAACTCAGAAATCGCAAAACATGTCAACGAATGTAACAACTGCACTGCTATTTGGTCGGAGACAGAAATCATTCACAAGGAGAGGAATGATACAAAAAGGCTAGTAAGGGAGACGGTGCGAATAAAGTCTTTAGGTAATTGCATAAGCCAGGCGTCGCTACAGTTCGGTAAAAATTCCAAAAGTTTTTTAAGAATATATATATTTATGTATATATATATATGTATATATATATTTTTTTTTCTTTTTCTTTTTTCTTTTTGGGTGGACAGAGGGAAAGCTTTACTGTTCAACTTTGCACCGTTTTACGTTAAGTGCGTGTCATCCTTTCGTCGAGGAGGAAAGGAAAACAATTTAAGTAAAAAAAAAAAAGAGAAAAAAAGTTTTTTTTTTTTTTTTTTGTATGTGTTTGTGGATCCTTGTTACTTTGGAAGAGGTAATGGTCCTTTTGTTATATTTTGGGGGAGATTGCTGAATTTTCTTTGTGAATCGGCATGAAGGCCGTCCATAGCGCTAGTTTGGAATTACAGGGTTTGGCGTTTGGACTGTTTAGAGGTTGTCCCTTTGTGTTGGTAGTGACTGTCTGGAGGGTTTGGCGGTTGAACTGGTTAGAGTTGCCCCTTTGTGTTGGTGGTGGGCTGTTTGTGGACTATATAAGGAGGAGGACTGAATAAACCTGGTAGCTGAGTTTGAGACGTCGTCCTGTCCCGTTCTGTTTCTTCGACTTTTATGTTTTTCTACCCCAGTCTCAGGTATATTCAACATGGTTAACATCCACCAGCTCGCCTGCACCCTTACTATTGTATAACCGGAAACTGTTTGGCAGGACTTTATCCGGCTTGCCTTTTAGAGACTGATTCCTCAAAATCCATTTAATTTTTTGCAGGCAAATTGCGAAGATTACAAATTCCGACATATAATTTTTTAGTGCTGCTAAATCTCGCCTGACCTTTTAATTACATTTTGTGAATGTCGAGTAGTACCCAGTTTGCTAAACATCGTGCCTCCGGCATCTTTCTGTTCCTAGTGTACTCAAACTGAAATTTACAATCCTGGTACAGCTTCCAGATTAAACCCGGCCTGTTCAAATTGTATACTGTGTTTCACCAGTTTGATCCGTCTTTACATACACTGTCGGTCTCGTGCTCCGGGTACGATTCTCAGTACAAACACAGCTTGTGCAAACCGTTTCTTTTCTGTCCTGGCATACTTCCCGGCATAGACCCGCACTGCTAAACCGTTTTTTCCGACCCCGGTACGTTTAGTGGTGTGTGCAAACCATTTCTTTTCTGTTCAGGTATATATCCGGTATAGACCAAGACTGCTAAACCGTTTTTTTTTTTTTTTTTTTTTTTTAAATACGGTGTGTTTGCTGGTTTCTGCAAACCATTTCTTCTCTTTCCTTGCATATTTCCCGGTATTAGTGCAGTCTGTTAAACCGTTTTCTTTTTTTTTTTAATACGGTATGTTTCCTGGTATATTCAAACCGTTTTCCAGATTCCCGGTTGTTTTTTTTTTAATACTGTAATCATACTGTTTTTTTTGTTTTTTTTTTCGTTTTTTTTTTTTGGTAGAGATGCCTCGTGAATGATTTAAAAAGGCATCAGGAGGTTTGATTAAAAAAGAAAAAAGAACTGGGGAACAATACATTTAGAATGGAAACATCAAAATTGTAAATTTTTAAGTTGTACACAGCAGTTTCAAATACACTCGTGTTTTGTTAGCTTTTTACCTTACAAAAATATTATACACTTTTGGTATAATTATATTTTATGGGGGTGGGGGGAGGGATTTGCAAGTTTGTATTAATACGTGATAATGTTCTCTATTCTCTACAAATAATATGTATCATACGCGTATTCGCTCTATGGCTTTTCTTTCGCTGTCTGAACAATCAACAGGATACCTAGACCGACCTCTTTGAGTTGTTATGTTATTAATTTTAATGTTTCCACGTGAAAACACTCGCCATAGAAAGTTTCGTCTCCGCATTGAGATGTCACCTCGCTTGCGCAAGCCACAATAGAACATAGCATGCAGCTTCGCTCTTCCATTGTTAGAATTATAAGAAAGCCCAGCATCTTTCAGGTATAAATACCGAGGATGCAGATTTCCTGCAGGCAAACTTCTTTCCATTATAGGAGCCCTGCTAATTCGTAGCTCTCCTCCCTCCATATTTGTCTACGTTTTAGCTTGGTTACTTACCGAAGGAAAAATATGATGACTTCGGCGTTTTTCTTTTTCTTCGTTGGTTTGTTTGGTAAGCAGGTATTTTAACAAGTTAAATCCTGCACTTGTTTACTAATATTCTGCACTCTTCGCTCAACAGGACACGTAGTGTGCCAAGGAAATGATCCCAACGTTTGCACGTCAGACAACGGTTACCCAGCTGTAAGTATAATTCTAACTTTTTACCCAATAGTGATTATCTAGTTCCAAGTAAAATCTATGTGCATATGAATAATTACTGCATGCGTACCTTTCTTTTTAATTCGATGTAATTTACTAAGGCAACAGCCTTATCTGTCTCATCGTTCAGTCGACCTTAAAAGTCGTCGAGCGAAAACACGTAGAGGGCAGAAAAAGTACGAAAACACGTCGGCGAGACGAAAGGTACCAAAACCCACGGTGCGGCTATGGACCACGAGATGGCGATACTTGTGTCAGAATCGGCGGAGGCGCCCGCGCGGCACAAACGCAGCGGGAGAGGAGGACCAGAGGACACTCTCGCTCGGGCAGTGGTGAAGAGCGGACGTGTGACATGCAGTGAGATTAACGGCGCCAAAAGTGCGTCGTCAGAGAGCGCGCTGTTATATATCCACTCAGTCAAATTAGAAGCAATGAAATTTAGAAGGATGACAAAGGCGAATTAAGAGGAATCAAAGTGAATGAAGTAAATCTTGTGTCTGTCTTTAATGCATTGGCGCTTGGGCTTTCGCCTTCAAGTCGTCTTCAGGACATAAGTGGCCATGTAAATTGTGCCCCTGGGCTCACTTTGTTTTATTACAACTGCGTCTTGGAATACAGTCTTCATGGTACACCGTGCGAAGCAGTCATAAAAGAACATGAGGTTATCGTCGGCGAGCCATAACATTTTATACATATTATATTTATCAAATAATCGAGCCTTTGTCTGCCCGTAACCCAAGCGGATCTCACTAGGCTGAAGTAGCTTCAATCTGGACATTCTTGAAACATCAAACAAAATATGTAAAAAAATTTAGTCTTAGTCTTCATTATTTTATCTGGCTCAGTACATTACCAGAAGAGCACGGTACGCAAGCCCGTTTTAATCAACTTTGACCTTACCAGCCTTACCAAGACGGGGGAAAAAGAGGGGTAATCACGGTGATGACTAGCAGAGATAAAAAGTGTAAAACTATTGCGTGTCGCGGAAACTTCGTACGACTCCAGAAAACCAAGATTTTCGCATAATATTTTCTTGTTAGATCGAACTCACTCCTATCTTCATTGAAGTAGCCTCAAACGCTTACACTACTCGAGGGTATGATGTGACATTTCCGCAAATGGTACAGTAATATAAAGCCGGGATTGAAGTTGAGACGCTGGAAGATAACGTTGGGTCTGAACGAGCTTCGCTGGTTAAACATGGTTACATAAAAAAAAAATGTTGGAAAAGCATAAAAAAAACTCGGCAAGCTGACCTCAAAGATGAGAGTTGTAGTTTCAAAAACGTTAGAAGACCTGAAGCTAATTTGGAAGGTTAGGAAACCTCATAAATGTGTTTTTCGTGGACTAGTAAATTTAAACGCTGAAGCAATTTAAGTTGGCAACTTGTCACCTTACGAAGAATTATTCACGACCCGTTCCTCTTGTGAATTGTGGGGTTTGACTGAAAATAGCTTTTATTTGTACAAGAAGTTTTTGAAACACTTGTTATCCCCTATAATAAGGTCCAAAATGTGTCCCAAATGCAAAGCCGGTCGCATGAAGAACTATGGTCCATATAGTGCGGTGTATCACCCAGATTATTTATTTTACTTTCCTCCAGCCTCGTGGATTAACTACCTAAAATCCTGCTGTGAAAACAACCAACAAAAAAATTCCAGAATTTTATTAAGCGAACAGGTCTGTTGCTGGTGCACGGCATTGCAGTCGCGTAGGGTTCACAAATTGTGGTAATCAATCTAAATGCGTGGGAATCGCCAACTATGGTTCCCGAACTGAACTGTTATACACTTTCCAAAGCCGACCGCACCTTTTTTTTCTAATTCAATATCTATAGATCATTTAAAAAATATATATATATTGTTTAGCTGTTTCCATGTCGTCACTGCAGTTTGTTTAGTCAAAACTGAGCCGCTGACGCCACCGTCGCGAATACATAATTGACTTCGGGCCGCAACCCGCAAGGAAGCGCGGCTCGCATTTTATTACGCCAAACCGCTTCCAATGACCCCGTAACAGCAACATGAAATTACGGTTCCGTTTTGGTTTGGCTTGAATATAAAAATCTTGATTTCGGTTTCAGTTCTGTTCCGGTTCAGTTAAAAATAACTGTTTTGTCTGGTTTTTCGTTCGGGTTTAGCTCGACATCCTGGTTAAAAGCTGCATGCTAATCGCCTATGATTACAACAGCCGCTTTGTAGTGGCGTAGCCATAATTTCTTTTTCAATATGTTTGTGTGTGTGTGGGGGGGGGGGGGGGGGGGAGGGGGGCTGATGTGGCTCAGATGTCTATGACTTGGTGTGCGGAGGGGGGGGAGGGGGGATGTCAAAATGCATGTGTATATTATAGCGTCGGCTGGAGTTTAGAAAGGGGGGGGGGGGGGGGGGAGTTGAAGGCCCACAAGCCTCCACCCTGGCTACGCCACTGCCTTTTGGTTGAGTCTCGCTGTATTAGGAACGACAGCTAGTCTGTTTACAACTACTCAGTTTTAATTGCTGCACTGAGGGCGTGCCATTTTCACTCTCGAAGGAGGATAATCCAGTGATAAAATCAAGCCGTTAGCCACCTCAAGTGATATGACGCTGTTTCAAAAGCCACTTACCATGCGCTAGCAAATTGCGCCATCAACTCATAGGCCCTAGATGACATTCGACACAGCTCGCATAAGAACCGAGCCCATTCCATTCCCACTCTATTCCGGGAAAAAGGCATCTAATTTCCTTCCCATTCCATTCCTCCCAGCGCGGCCGCCACTCTATTTTCATTCCATTCAGAGGTCACGAAAGTGCGGAATGATTCCGGAACCATTCCACTTCCGGAGCGACAGCTCCGCAACACTTGCACATAATATACGTGAAATATACTTATTTGTTTCATTATTATGGAGCTGCTGACGCTACCGTCGCGAATAATTATATATTTCGCGCCGCCACGCACAAGAAGGTGCGGCTCACATTTTATTACACTGAACCGTTTCCAACGAACAGGTAACTGCCACATAGGACTACAGTTCCGTTCCGGGTCAGGTTCAATATCAAATGTTTAATTTAGGTTGCATTTTTGTTCCGGTTCAATTGAAAATTACAATTTTGCTGCATTTTTTTGTTCGGGCTCGGTTCGATGTTAAGGTTGAACGCTACCTGCTAATCGCGTATAATTATAACAGCCGCTTTGTAGCGCCTTGCGGTGCCAGGAACAACACCTCGACCATCTGCAACTATTCAGTTTTGGTTGCTTCACGGAGGGCGCGCCATTTTCATCCTCGAAGGAGCATACGCCAGTGAGACAATCAAACCGTCAGCCACCCCCAGTGCAAAAATGCCGTTTCAAAAGCACCTTATTATGCGATTGCGAATTGTGCATCAGCCCGTAGGCCCCGGATGAAAATCGACACAGTTCACATATGAACCGAGCTCCATTCCATTCCCATTCCATTTCGGAGTCGCAAAAGTGCGGAATGATTCCGGAATTATTCCAATTCCGGAGTGGCAACTCCGCAACACTGGTTGTCAACGATTATTGGCGGCAAGATGCTTTGGTGGCGCCCTCTTAGGTTCCCTCTCGTAAAGCCATTACTTTGTGAACAACAAGTTCGACGGTGTTTGGAATGAGCATGGTGCAAGCTTAAAATCATTGAGCTCTGAAACCAACGCTACCAACACCGCCCAAAATTGAAGTTCTTTATTTCGCCTTATTTTCGTCGAAGAGAAATCCTTTGCTGTCGTCATAGTCAACATTCGGCCAATCGTGGAAGGCCGATCGAAGCGACGCTTTCGATTGCGTACGTCGCCAATAGGGTACGTGTGACTTACAGGAGTCGATCATGTAGCGCATGTACGCTACACGCTCCCGAGATTTAGAGACGCGTTAATTCCTGGAGTGGACTTCCGTCGCCCTTTTGCGTTTTACTTTCGGAATTTCGATTCCCCTTTATAAAGAGTCACATTTGCTAGACTACGATGCAGATCAAAATATATTTGATTGAAATCTAACAGCGATATTATAGTTTGAAGAACAACAAATACCAACTCGCAAGAAATAAATAATATTTTTTTTTTATTTTGTCTGCTTAAAATAAAATTTATATAAAAAAGAAGTTAAAATTTAGCTATGTATTTGATGTAATTTGTTCTTAAATTCACGTTACACGAATAGAATGTCTTCCAGGGTGTTCAATAACGATCGAAATGTCATTTTTATTTCAAGAAACCTTCTTTTTTTAATGATTTAAGTCGTGCGTGAAACACCGTGTGTATCCGCTCATAAAGACAAATATTTTTCAGATCCTCGCGATCTGCAGTGTCGAAAGATATTACACCTCAAGGCTTTTAGATAGAAAAGAGCTTGTGCTTTGAGGCTTCTATGCATATGTTTTGTATAAACATATATGCTTTAAGATTTTTTTTTCTTTTTTTTTTTCATGTTGACAGGAGGGGTATGCTCCAAGTTGCAAGTACAAATGCAGCAATGGGCAAGAGTATGAAACATGTAATTACGACGATGCCACATTTTGCTTCGTAAGTATAACTTACGCATTTGTTGTCATTTTGACTGCTTTTGCGTCTGATTATTTTTATCGACATTCATGAGATTTTTAGAAGCCCCACTTGGCATGCGAATTAAGACACTGCTACTTTACGCAACAACCTACTCCAAAATGTTATCTATTGGGGTAAATTTGTATTGGTCAATATTTTAACCCATACATTTTCATGAACCCTTCTGAAAATGCTTAAATTTGCTTATGGATATATCCGGTATGTATTGTGGGGATTCCTTTAGTCTTCCTTTCCCTGACGGCCGCATAGCAACCGCGGGTAAGAACGCTCGTCCTCTTGCCGTAAGCAGCGACCTCTTCGTGAAGCGTAGAAGACCCGGAGTCAGGGATTGCCTTCCTCTTAGCTCCATCCCGGTGTCCTTTCTCGACTCCAACGCCTGACAAGCTAATATTTACGATGTTTAAACCATAAAATTAGGAAGTAAACCTAAAGACAAAACAAAACAGACAGCGTCTCAGTCGATTGTCTGTCCACTTTCTTTTCTGCCTTTTATTTTGTCTTCCAGCTTTTTTCCCAGTTTCTGGGTTTAAACATCATGATTTATACGCATTAGGTCGCCTGCAGTTCAAACAATGTTTCTGAAACATTTTTCTTTTTTGCAAAGAGTAGTTCTTTTTGGGCAAGAAGCTTCACATTTCCACATGTTTTGGGAACGCAATTCGGCCGGCGGCCGCGACGTGGTTTGGGTTCCGACGCTTCCCCGACCTCGTCTCTCCAACCACGAACATGACAGGTTGGAACTCTCTTGTAACGTTCGGAGTGGGGGCGTTTTGTGTAAAGGCGTTGTAGTTCGTTCGGAGTGTGTAGTCTAACAAGCACTCTTGGATTCTGTCTTACCCTGGTACGTGGGTACTCTCTCTTCGAGCAAAACAATCTCGATCACTGACATGGCGGATGCTATATCATACCGGCTCGTGGTTTTGTGAACTAAATGTCCCGTATAGTGCTCTGGAAACGCTGGACTTCGAAAGCGTCAAAGATAGCCGTGATTCAACGTGCCCCACAAGAAAGAGCCCTGTTTGTGTCAAGACTGTCCACGGAAACAAGTACGAAGGACGTTGAGGATTTGGTCGCTGCTGTTTTGCAAGGTAAAACTTTCGTATGCACGAAATTGAAAACCAAACTTCCTTACTACGCGTCTTTCCACATTCTCGTTGACAAAGAAGTATTTGAAGCGATAAACAGCGTGTCTGTCTGGCCAGAAGGCTGCATCTTCAGGCAATTTTTTGGACCACTTCCTGTGTCGCGCCACTTCGATAGTGCAGAAAGCAACGTTGAAGCTGGTGCGACTGCAGCGTAATTCACGGTTTTCTTTGCACTTGTTTGTCCGTTGTTTTTTCTTTTTTTTTTCCTTTTAACCTCTAGCTTCATGGCCGAATACCATGAACTTCTATTGCCTGTTAAACTAAAGCGATATGCAGGAACCAAAGACTCCACCACGATCTTACATTTAAATATACGCTCTTTGAAATGTAAAAGTGACAATTTTATTACTCTTTTAGATCAACTCTGTGTTTCGTTTGAAGCGGTGATGCTTTCCGAAACATGGTACGCAACAGATGACGATGTTTTTATCGTGCCGGGTTACAATCACTTCTTTTTGAATCGAAGGGGAAAACGAGGGGGAGGTGTTTGTATCTATGTTAGACAGGATATTAGATGCGAAATACTCGATGCCTTTACCGAAATTACAGACGACTATGAAATCGTAACTGTGAAGCACGGACGTCAGCTGCTTTCTGTTATGTATCGACCGCCAGCTGGTAGCTTTAATAACTTTTTGTCTTTTCTTGAGAGGTATCTTGATTTCATATCCTTGAATAACTACTCACTTGTTCTGGGCGGTGACTTAAATGTAAATAGTTCGGAAAACTCTTCTCTTTCTTCACGACTGAGTAGTACACTCAGTAGTAGTGGTTTTTGCAATGTGATTGTGTCCCCCACCAGAATTACTCATTCTACGGCAAGTTGTATCGACGTTTTTATTACCAATATAAATACTATAGTTCGCAGTGCAGGTACTATTAGTAGTGATATAAGCGATCATTTACCAATATTTTTTTGTTTTCAAACCCGTGATTTATCACGGAGCGTCGGTAGACTCGTAACTTTCCAAGCGATAACCGACTGCCAACTGCGGTCCTTTCGAAGCACAGTCATGCAAACAGACTGGACTTCTGTCTTTTCAAAGCAATGCGTGAACGAAGCATATGATGATTTCATAAATATTTTTAAGACGCTATACATCGCATCGTTTCCATATAAGACGGTTACTGCTAAAAAACGAATAAGAAAACCATGGGTCACGTCACCTATTCTAACAATGATAAGAAAAAAGAATCGCTTATATCAGGAGTACCTCTGTTCAAAGGATGACGGTGACCATGCAGTTTTTAAGAGGTATCGCAATCAACTGACATCTGCACTTAAAAAATCAAAAACAGAATATCACAAACGCCTTTTTCATGACGCCCACAAGAAGCGTCCTGCGATTGTTTGGCAGTCGATAAATGAAGTGCTTAAACGCAGCAAGCAGAAGAATTCAATAGATGAACTTTCACTTTCTGGTGAGAGCGTATCAGGAGTACAACTATCTGAGCTCTTTAACAGACATTTTACTAACTTGCCTTCTAGCGCGCACAATGAGCATGCTTCCTCGTTTATCTCGCACCGTGTAACAGACACAATTTTCCTACAACCTACAGACGAATTGGAAGTGATCCGTGTATTTATGGGATTGAATAACAGTAAAAGCCATGACATAGACGATATACAAATAAAGCCCGTTAAATTCGTAATCGATGTGGTGGCCCCACTCTTGGTATATATATTTAACTTAGCATTGTCGAGTGGTCAATTTCCGAATAACATGAAACTCGCAAAAGTTTCAGTTTTGCATAAAGGTGGAGACAAAAATTTAGTTACAAATTATAGACCCATCTCTGTTCTTCCAATATTTTCTAAAGGGCTGGAAAAAATTATATTATATCGTTTAGACAATTTTTTTACGAAGACCTCAGTGCTAACTGACTCCCAGTTCGGATTTCGCAAGGGAAAATCCACGGAAAGCGCTCTGATATCACAGAAAGAAATAATATTACACAATATAGAATGCAAACTGCTGACACTGGGAATATTTATTGACCTTAGCAAAGCGTTTGACTGTCTTAACCATTCGACGCTCCTTGATAAACTTTCATGTTATGGCATACGTGGCACGCCTTTGATACTTATTCATTCATATTTAGAACACCGTAAGCAATGTGTCTCCGTGAGTGATCATGTTTCCTCTTTGCAAATCTTGAAGTTTGGTGTGCCCCAAGGCAGCATACTCGGCCCTCTGCTGTTCAATGTATATATAAATGATCTAGTCAATATTTGCCATCAAGCACGTTTTGTAATGTATGCAGACGACACGAGTATATTTCTGTCTGCATCGAATATGGACGAACTTATACCCATGGGAAACTTAGTTTTGGAAAAGTTTCTTTCGTGGTCAAAAATAAATGGTCTTAAAATAAACACTGTAAAGTCCAAAGCAATTTTGTTTAGACCTGTAAATAAGCACGTTGTTAGTAATTATACTCTAGAGATTGGAACTGACCAGATTGAAATAGTTAAACAGCACAAAACGCTAGGTGTCATTTTTTCAGAACATATGCAATGGGATAATCACATCGAATACTTAGTTACGAAACTGTCAAAAGTTGTTGGAATAATATGCCACTGTCGCTCCTTGTTGCCTGTAAATATTAAAATGCAAATTTATCATGCTCTGTTTAGCTCACAAATTAACTATTGTCATTTGGTTTGGGGCACAACAACCAAATCTAATATTAACAAACTCACGATCCTACAAAAGAAAATGCTGCGTTTTATTGCAAACGTGCCTTACGACACTCATACTGAGCCATTATTTCTTAAATTCAACATCATGAGGATTGCCAGTGTATACGAGTACCGTTTGCTATGTTCTTATTTATTTTCGACCGCTGAGTTTGCTTCTTTTTTGTCTAATGTATCCCATCTGACAAAACGTGAATCCTTCATCCTTGTCAGACGCAGAGAGTTCTGGAACGTGCCTCATTTTCGTACAAATTATGCACTCCAATCTATTGCGCATAACCTGCCTTCATTACTTAACAAGTTCCTTATAGACCACAATGATATTCACTGTTTAACAAAAAAAGATGTACGTGTTTGTTTTGTTTAGTCAAAGTGTATTCTGTAGTACTTGTTTTTTTATAATGCCCTGTAAGTGCAGGGGCACCAGGCCCAGTCAAGCTACCTCATGGAAGCTTTTTGTCTGGTGCCCTCAGCACAATATTGCTGAAAATAAATATTACTTACTTACTTACTTACTTACTAGGCTCGACGTCTCTTGATTAGAGTTCACCCGCCTGCTGTAGACTCTTTGGTTACGACGACTAGTACTTTTTGGTAGCAAAGTTATCCGCATATCAACATTTTAATGTTTTATTATTTACCAACAAATTATTCAACTCAAACAGGTACGAATATGACCACTCTGTTTTGATGAAACAAGTGTTTGAATATTAGAAAATGGGGACTATTATCCTCCATTTATTCTCGTGAGAAGCGGTGCCTAATGAATTTTCCTGATCAACGATCATGCGGGTAAGATTCTGTCTAGGCGTTCTCAAGGCATAGATTGATTTTGCTCCACTTAACTAATTTTAAATTGCATGTTACATGCAGTATCGAAGGTTAGATTTCTAGGCTCGGCTTAGCAGGCTACCCCGTATCCCTACTAACTCCCGTGGCTGAAACATTACGAATAATATAAAGCGCGTTCGTGACGCTGACAGACAGTTAAGGGACTGACAAGAAAGTGTGGCAATCATGCCCTATAGTCCCAACGTTTCCCACGCGCTAAAAGAAGTTTGGAAGCCGAGAACATCTGAAAGCAGTCCTTTCGGCCCACAACAAGCTTTCCAGTTTATGCAAAATAGTTTTTTCAATAACAACACGCAAGAACTCTGCACAAAAACAAACGTGCAATATGTTTGGTTCCTGCACAGAAAATGTAGTTTATTTTAAGAACTCCAAACTACAATAGACCGATCTCACCAGCCAGTCTGACTTTGCCACCGCTGCCGCAATGAGTCGAGGGGACTTCAGTATTTTTGCACGTTCGACAATCTTGCTGGAGCTCGGCGCGTGTAGAGCAGGAGAAGGCACGAGCCCTCATGTTCACGGCCCTCTGCCTACTGTGAATTTAAGTTATTACGGCGTCACGCGTGCGCCGAACCCAGAGCGAAATCTGTCTTATTAGCACTGAATCAGGGTTGTGTGTCTCTTGAGTATGTGTCCTGTGTATGTAAGTGTATGTTATTGTCTTTACAATTTGATTATTATGACGTAGAACCTATTATTGTTTCGTTTTCGACACAGGGCTATAAACTTTTCCTGATAATATAAAAATAAGCTCAAGTAGGAAATTTTTAATTCCATGTCTACCAACTTATGCGAGACATTTTTGTCGTTTTAACTACAAAATGCTTAAACCAAAAACTCCGGTTGATATTCACATATAAAGAAAGCACGTCGTGGTCTGACAAGTTTGCCACCGTTGTTATGTTTAATATTAAAAACATTTTATCCAATATAGTAGTCCAGGTTTCGTGATGAGGTTAGCACGTGAATATTGATGCAGAAAGTCAGCAATATATTGTTTGTTGTGAGTTATACCGTACATCAGGGTAGTAATCATACTATCTCGTTTGATGTTAAGGGTATCATATCTACGACGCATTAAATAAAACTATATTATTATTTATGAATTCCTCCACATATATTGTCAAAAAAGACTCACAGCTTTATACCGTTCTCTTTTTATCAAACTTAACCCTAACCAGGCAAATATTACTCACGATCAGTCATGATTCTATGTTGACTCCTATTTTATATATTTACACGATAATGTCCAATCTCTACGCTACAATATTAAGTCATCCTGCATTATTTTAAACACCCGATACTGAATACCTAATAATTTGTTCAAAACAATCTCAGCCGCATCTGCATAAAACAGTTTCAACAAAACGTTTTGCTCAGCACACGCAGCGTATTCCGTAACTTTTAAGAACCAATCTATATTCCTTAACGTAGCTCGTAAGTGCATAACGAGGGTATAATTACTAGCTACAATTTTGTTATTAAAAAGTAAACTTTCATTGCTCGACAAGATCTAAATCGCGTAATTGATTAAAAAAACGCGAAACGCGCTCCTGGTTGCATTGCCAGAATACCGCGGGGAAACTAGAAAAATATCTGGGCAAATTTCAAGGACCTTCTGATATTTGACTTCAACATAACTTTACACAAACTGAGGAATGTACTGTAGGAATTCTACAAAATATCTGGAGCGCTATACAAGGAAAGAAAAGGCACAGGTACGAAACTTAAATTAACTAATATTTAGGTTGAAACAACTATGCCCCTAAAAAGGTCGTTATTAAAGTTTCATTAATTTTTTTATTCTTTGAAACAGCAGCCCCACAGCTATTCAACTCGATTGATGGTCGTGAAATTTTGCAATATTACCTAAACAAATGCAAATCAGGTAGAAAATATTGATCGCTTACATATATACGACTCTCGAAAAAAAATAATAAACTTCAATTTCTAGGTGAGAGGGAACCTTGTTAAAGTGACCACCTAGAGTGATCGATATATAAATTATTATTTCCTATCGTGCCTTGAGTTACAACAAAACTCCAGTTTTATGAGGGCAGGAAATAACAACCCTAATATTGCAAGACTCTTGGTTATTATGAGATTGTATTTTTGATCACTGAGATGCAAGGTCTTACATTTTGTATAGCAATGTTTTTTCATGCATGTACTGTCGTTACTAGAGTATTCCTGCTCAATATCATTTGTTTTTTGCTGAAGGAGATATACCCAGACTATTTAAAAAAGAAAAGTTAAAGTGCATTTATTTTCCAGCATTTCAAAAGGTGTGTGCACTAAGTGAAATCCTGAGAAATAGCAGCAGGCAGCACACCATATTTCTTAATGATTATTTTTCTAGATGGAATATTATACGCAAATTTTTTTAGTTATACAGTTATACAATGTTACTGATGCACGTAATTGAAACCACCGAAGAGTGCTAAGCATCTTTACAATTAGGCTAGAATCAAATTTCGGAATTTGGAAGGTACTACTTCTCATGATGTATAAAAGGGCGAGTACGTAGGTATTCAAATGAAAAACAATCAGTTGTTAGTAAGCGTTCGTTTTCTCCAGTTTATCGCTTTGTTCTCTCCCGGTCTCGCTTTTTTCAATATGAATGCTACTGCTGTCATAATAAATTTCCCCAGATGAAAAGAAGTAAGTACGGCCTAGTCGAGAAAGTGCAGAATTCAAAAAGAACTTGCAGAATGGAACAGCAGTACTTACTGCATTGTCGTAACTACGTTTTAGTTCAGCTGTCCTTTCCACTCGCAAATACTGTGTGTGTTCCTTCTGGGCGCATTCGCGTCCTCTCCAAGTCGCCGCGGTCTTGTATAACGCCGGATGGATGTCTCCTAGCAAAAAATGGTAAATGCTTCTTATGGGAATCTCGGTTACTGTAGGAGAATGGGCAATAGAAATTAACACCTCCACACTTTAAAGAATGTCGATATGGACTGCAGAGACTGTTAAATATACATAATTTATCAAATGCTGAACATCAATGACGTTTCATATACAGGTGTTTTACGGCAAAGGAAATACGACACTGCACCACCTTGGAAAATGCGTAAATGGGGAATGCGAACCAGAAAACAGAGGTAACACAAAATTCAACTGAACCCATTTCTCCTATTCAGGATATATTCATGAGTGTTGTGATTCCTTTGTGTGTTGAAGGTCGTTGATCATGAAAGAGTTAAACGATTTCAGACCCAACTCACAGAAACAATGCTATAAAATTGGGTAGATTCATTTAATTTAAGCGTTATTATAGCTTTACGAATTACTTGGTCATAACAATAAAATACTTATATTCAAATATAGCGTATATAGCACAATAGAGTCTTGCCAGAAGTCAATCTCCTCAACCTTGCTTTTAAAGTGTGTATGTTATATTTAGGATATATGACCTAGATACAGTTAAACGTTTCTACCCTTGTTGTATTGAAAATGAAAGCGCTATAGCATTATTCTTAGAAAGAGGACAGCATTAGAAAAAAAATGTCCGCTTTGTTTATTCGATTAGACGCTACGGAATGCAGTAGCTTTGCAGGAATGTCATTAGGCAAAATAATTAAGAAAGGAAAGAAAAAGACGACGTCAATAACGAATTTTACGACGACCCATAGGGCAACCTCAAGGACGACGTCTAGAACGACGTCGAGGACGACGTCAAGGGCGGCGTCTAGGACGACATCGAGGACGATGGCAAGATTGAAGTCTAGGAAAACATCTAAAACTTCCTCTGGGACGACCTCAAGTACGACGTCTAGGACGACGTCAGGTCACGTCGGCTTCAGCTCCCGCCTTTAAGAGCTTACGCAACCGGCGCTTACGTGCATGGAGCTTCCGCAATGGGCGTTTACACAACCGACGCTTACGTGTATGGAGTTTCCGCAAAGGGCGCTTAAGCCGCCGGCGCTTACAAATTTACGCGACCGTGGCTTACGTGACCAACGCTTAAAAGCTCACGCGACTGGTGCTTCAGCCAAGAGAGCTTGAATTACGGGCGCTTCAGCCACCGGCGCTTTAGCCACATCCTTCAGACACCTTTACCTCACCCTAAAGCTACCGCTTTAAAAATATAGAGGCAGAGATCGCCGAAATCCTTTGTGTAAAAAGGACCGTGCAACTATATTGGGTGGGAACGTTTCTCAATATGCAGAAGCTTAGTGGCACTAGTGCTACCCATGTATAGACCCCCCCCCCCCCCCCCATATTACTTTACAAATATAAACTGCCGCTTGCGTCCCAAGACACTTCTGGGTGCTCAGTCTTTGAGAACTTATCGAGCTTGCTTATGTTACCAGTGTTAGAAAGCATAAATACTACACGGAAAAGTTAAGATTTAACGAGGGCCTTCGGTTGTACAGTTTTACGTTTTAGAGAAGGGAACTTGGCTCTACAAAAATATTCGAGAAATTTTAACAGATATAGCGTTTCCTTTTTTTTTTTTTCGCGTTCACCTCAAGAATTGGTAGTTAAACGTTTCATCGACATTTCAAGCAGCGTTCTTTTGATGAACTTTGTTCATCCTTTTTATGAGCAGGAAGTTCTCTGGGACGTCAAAGACTGGGGCACCGTCTGAAGGCATTTCCAATGAATAAGGCTTACACACGCACGCAATGCCCCTGACAAAGAAGCTTCGGAAATCTTGATGACAAATTTGTGAGGACTCTTGGGATCGAATTTGTGATCTGTCAACAAAGCGATCCCTAATATTTCGTAAACCAAGCTTTGCGATTGCCATGGTCACCTTAATTAAATGCGGCTCCTGTTGTAGGTACGAGGACTGCGGGAGCATTCAATTTGGCCTCGTGACAATCTATGCCTCGGCATGCATTCAGGTAGTACATGGCTCGTGTGCATTTGCTGCGATGACGGGAATAGCTGAAGTTTACGATACTGTTGACCTCAGCGAGTGCCCAGTGCTTTACGAATCCTAGCACGCGGTTGATAAACATTGGCGGCATAAAATCTGCTCCAGTCCACATGGTGGCCCTGTTTGCTGCGAATTGAGGGCGAGAACACTGCGCGTTATTTCTCGATTGTTTCTCAGACTGTCATTTTGTGGAGAAAGCAAATATTGCGTGTTACGTCGGTTTTTGATGTCAATGAGTAATTCTAAGCGGTGCTTACTAAAATTACGAAAATCGTTGCATTGTTGCTTTAAATCGCCAAAAAGAAAGGAGGGCGCTCAGCTTTTGCATTTAAGAGTGGAACGTGACAGCTTAATATAAACCCCGCTCGTTTCCAAGTCGTTCAATCGTGTCTGCGTAGCGTAGTCAATAAAGAAAAAATATATTGCCTGCGTGGCTTAGTGGGTATGATGTCTGGCTAACAACCTTAACGTCGTGCGTTCGATCCCGCTCCTGGCAATTTTTTTGGAATTTGCTCTTTGAGCGAAAAGCATTACTTATGGACCAATAGGAATGTCGCCGGCCCACCGCGCCGGCTTTTTTGTGCAACGAGCTCTTTAAAGCAGTCCCTTTATGCACTCAACATATTTGCTCAAGGTGACTGTGTAAATAATGCTCATCAACGGCGTTACTGATGAAAAAGAACTAAAAAACTAAATTTATTCTCCGCCTTTAAAATTCAGCAATTCAGTGCACTGAAACACGTGAAAGAAACATATACAGATATATTTGTTATAAAGCAGTAGCTTTATACTATAGTTCCAGCTACGCTCAGGGTGGCATAATCAAGGTCACGAAACACCCGTGGCTGAAGCGCCGGTTTCTTAAACGCCTGTGGATCAAGCGCTAGTGGCTCAGGCGCCCTCGGCTGAAGCGCCGGTCGCATAAGCCACGCTCGCGTAGGCTACGGCCACGCAAGCTCGTAAGCGCCGGTCGCGTAAACTCTTAAGCGCCGGAAGCTGAGGCTGACGTGACCTGATGTATTTGACATGGTCCCAGATGTCGTCCTTGAGATCGCCGTAGAGGTCGTCCCAGAGGTAGTTCTAGATATCGCCTCTCACGTCGTTTTCTAGGACGCTGTCCGCGATGTTGTCTCAGATATCGTGCTTGAGGTTGTCCTAGAGGTCGTCCTAAACATCGTCTTCTAAGAAGTCATTCTAGACGCCGTCCTTGATATCGTTCTTGACATCGTCCTAGGCGTGTTATTTAATTATGGAAAGCTGGCAACAACAAAAAAGATCGCCAGATAAAGACACAGAAGCTGAATCAAAATCTAATCTTGCCTTTCTCGATTTTTGGTGGCTGCCATCGCACGAAACAGTAAGCTTAGCATTTCAACTGTTTGGAATGACACATGCAAAAGAGACAGCCAAAACTTATGCATGACGAGAGGGTGTCCCGAAGAAACGGAAATTAAAAGAAGCAAAACAAATTTAATATAAATAGTGTGTGCAACTAAAACCTTGCATGACATCTGTCTTGATAGCTGCCAAACCAAACCTCCGTTCTTCATTATTTTCATTTGCCGAAGACGTCTGAACTAATACCGCTTTTTTCTGAAGGTAACGCGAACCATTGTGCTCAGTATAACGTTTTGCGTGTAAACTCAAATATATATCTTTCTTCTCTCGTGAGCTGACACCATTTTCGAGCATACCGGGCTGGTATGCTCGAGCATACCGGGCTGGTACAGCCAAAATATTTTTAACCGTAACCCGCTTAAACTGCATTTATAAACTTTTTTTCTTGTAGGGACCTTGCTCTAGGCACTAAAAATAACATTTCCGGCTCTGAAGTCGTGAAAATTATTCTGGGAATACGTCTTAAGATTACAGTATCATAATAAAAGTGTACTAGTTTTATTAAAAATCACAACTTTCCAGTAAGCAAAATTACAGTATTTAAAGTTCTACATCTAGCGAATGGCTTATATGTCAAGTTCAGCTATGCCTAATCATAATAAAAATATACTAGTTTTTATTAAAAATCACAACTTTTCAGTAAGCAAACTTACAGTATTTAAAGTTCTACATCTAGCGAATGGCTTATCGTTCCATGACAGGAACGCTCGTCTTGCTCGCTAACGAATATTATAGAAAAGTTACATTATGCGGTGCACGACAGCACCTAGACCCGCAAATTATGTACGTAATTAACAGATAAACTTGAGTGCATCTCTTATTAATTTTTTTTTCTTTTGGCGCACGCAACGTTTTGCATTGGTAATTTAGTTTCCTTGTCCCCATATTGCACATTCAACAGTCTTTGTAGTAATGTTGCAAGGTATATATGAAGACCATAGCTTTTTGGATAACGCTGATAAAATTGTCGTTCTTTTACAAGAAAACGCCAAGATTACTTACAATACTTTTTTAAATACTAACATTTTTTTTTTGCTTGCGGTCTTACGAGTTAGTGTGATTTCTGCCCCTAAGTACTATAGAGTTTTGAAATTACTTGATCGTGCTACATTTACACATCACGCTTTTAGCCGCTGACAGGACTCTACCGCACCAGTGGGATGGCAAATATCATCAGTGCAAAGATTTGGAAAGTTATCAAGTAAGTGCAAATGAAACTACGACTAGTTTAAAACTTCCAAACATTTACTATTTATATTGAGTGCCTCGGGGACTCAACACTTTCGCTTGCCATGTTTATCTGCATTTGAAAATAACATAATCTCTCTAATTAATCTAGCAAATGAAATAAGGTAAATGAACGCAAAAAATAAAGTTACGAGTTGTATTTTTTTCAAACTGGTGCTTACCCATTGAGAACTGATTAGCCACTTTATAGAAACGTTTAATCATCGCATTGCGACAGCTTAAATGTAAACAAAGCTAAGGATCGAATAGAACTCTCTTTTTTATTTTCTGGTTTCTCACAAGTTTTCGGGCGTACCTTTATTCGAATAACCAGAAGAACTGCAACTGAGAAAGAAGCTTCGTATAAGTGACATTAAACACACCAAAGAAAATAATCTACCTAAAATATTGTATGATGACAACGCTACTGAATACGACCATTTCGAATTTGAACGGGCTGCAAACTGGTCTACCCGTTCAGGTCATATGATGTTATGAGATACGGGCACTCCTTTAATACGGCTAGCCGTCCGATAGGGATACCCGTTTGATACCGGCACTTTTTAAAAATGTTATCAGGGTATTGAGGCAAATCCTTCGTTAGACTCAAATGGATACCGTCTGAAATTGGTCGGCCCAACACGCAACACTGAAGGTGTGTCGAATTCTTTGACAGACTATTTGATTAGAGTAGCTCGCTTTGGAGAATGCACTGCAGGTGCCCATCTTTTCAAACTTAATAGCCTTGCATTAGCAGGAATGGGTGTATAGTTGATATGAATAGCCCAATTATATACACACATCCGCTACATTGCACACGGCTAATTCTAGGACCAAGTATACCACATAGAGCAGACGCTTTGCTTCTGTTTGAATTATGGAGTTCTGATTAATATAGAGGAAGCCGGGTGGGGCGTTGCGAAACCGTTTTCCCGCTAACAGCTACGGCGGGTACGCGTTGTCCGCAACTCTCATTAGTACGCACATGGACACAAACAAATGGAAGAACTGATAACATTTTGTTTGTTTATTTGTTTTTGAGTGATGGTAATATACCAACGTGTTTCTAGGATTGAACAGGTGCACCAAAGTGAAGACCGCTGTGGTTGTTTTCGGGCACTGGAAATAAAGTCATTATTATTATTATTATTAAGAACATCCGACGTGGTTAGTGCTCCACAAACACGCAATACAATAAACACTACACCTTCTTTCATGTCACGAAGGTAAGAATGGGACGATTTGAGCCATCCACAAAATCCAAAGCCATACGGGTTTGACGCATGACCCTTGGAATGGCACAGCGACGTGTGGTGCGCTTTGTCGAGTAACGCATTTACGGCGCTGGTTCGGCTGATATATCTCGTAGAGTCCGCTGCGATATATTGCATGAGAAAAAGGAGTGCTACTGATGACAACGGGAAGCGTGTGTACTTCCTGTCCTTTTCCCGATAGCCTGCTCGGATGTGGTCGATAGAGCACTCGTTCACACGTCCGAACGATTTCAAGACTCAGAGAAGAATACCCAAGACCGGGCCCGTAACCAACCCGCTCTCTCTCTCAAACCGGCGTAACAAAACTGCTCACCGGTTTGGTCAAACTGTTCACCAGATTGGTCAGTTGTTTACCGGTTTGGTCGAAATATTCACCGGTTTGATCATACCATAACCGGTTAGACCGAACCAGTGTTCGCTACCAGAAGAGAAAGAGAGAACATGAGTGATAAAGGGAGAGTGAACCTCCACTCACGGACTCATGGCGAGGCATCTAACAAAGCTGTGGATGAAATTCTAGCCATACCGCTCCGTACACAAGGCAAATGTGGAAAACTACTCCAGAAATACATGGGAATGTCTCGAGTTCACCGCCGCATCTCTCTTACCAGATACAAAGTGGAGCCATTGACACCCCCACTCTGTCGCCGCACAGAGTCATGTGACATCATTTATGTTTAACGTATCAAGCGTTTCTACGCCCCAAACAACTAAGGGCATTTCTACCGGTGGATTGGCCCTGCACCCATCCGGGCGAAGCGTTATAGAGGAAACGACAAGGAGGAGGCTTGCCAGGCATCTCGCACTTAGGGCGCCTGGTCAACGAATTCGCCGCTCGGAACAGCTGTAATGTCAAATCTACAATCCTCATTAAATCATCTTTTTCAAACCCTCACAATTTATGTTTGTAACTGTGCCATTTTTCGGTTCAAAAAGTAAACAGTTTCCCTGTGATTTAGGGGACACCTGTTCTTTTCTCATGCCGTTTTTCCTGGCCTATACGTTGTTAAAACTAATTTTTCTTGGATCGTTCCCTTGGACGTTTTTTGTTTTTTTTTCTGCTTCTACCTTTTTTTTTCACTGAAATAGCATGATCAGCCCCATCGCAAATGTGTAGGTATGAAATGTTAACTTTCGGGTTCAGTTGGCTTATCTCATGTCTTAAAGGTAATATGCAGGATGATTAAATGTAACACGAGACAGTCAAAAAAGGAGGTGAGACTGAGACGAGTGCCGGGTCTTCACCAGGTATTTATCAGGCACGACGGACATTAGATGAATGGATAGTAGTGACAGTTATCTATTTAATGAACTAAAATAGTTAGTTCCTTTTAATCGTTGGTTTTACGTGTCATATTAAAATACCAGTATTAAAGGCAACCATTGTTAGAGGTCAGAGCAAGGGAAAGAATTGCGAAAATGTCACCTGTTTTTAAATGCGAATCGAGCAATATTTACGTTTTTTCGCCCGATATAAATATCGCAAGAAAAAGGAGCTTTTGAAACCCTGCCCAGAAGAACAGAGACATGGTCATTTATGTTACTTCGTCAATTGTGCCGTCAGCGCACCCACCTAAGAGATGCTGCCGAGATAGGGACGAAATGTATGAAACGGATACGTAAATATTTCAAGCCCCATTGTGGGCAGCGCTTGATGCGCTTTTTTCCCATGGTGTTTAAATCATGTTAAAAAAACGAAAAAAATTATCGATAAATACTTGAAAAACACTTATCGTTTTTGAATTCATTAAATTGGTCTCGCCTCTAAGAGTAATTTTCTTCGCTACTGCAATTTCAACACGTCTCCTAATACCAATCGTTGGAAAGCTAATTAAGCTAATTATTTTCTTGTCTGCTTCGAGTGCCTACCAGGTATCCTCCATTCTAGTTAGGCTTTTTCTTTCAAATTTCACTTTACTAATTTTTTCCCTGCTCAAACAAGGTGGTCAGCTTATGACCCTCATTTAGTGTTTTCCAGTAGGCTTCAAGTGCCTGCCTGCCTACACTCCTTTGTTAAATTTTCAACCCAGTGTAAACCTCTGACCTTATGCAGCCCATTGCCTAAAAGTAGTGTAGGCAATATCACTTTTTTTTACCCCTGACTAATTCGTATTTATTATAATTCCACTGCTCCTTAAGTTTGATAATCGACAAATTTATTTTATTTTTCTTCAGCATATTTCCTTCGCGTTTCTCTAGATATTTCCTTCACTCACCTAGTTATTTGTTTTTTTTTAGATGACCTCTGACAAAGACTTGTACAATTAGGGGCTTTAACTTTTTGTCGTTAGACGCCATTACTCAAAACTTGTCAAAACTAAAACTCAGGCCCAAAATGTCCCCTCCCTCTATTAATATCCCAGTTAGTTTCCGCAATGTATTTCGAATATCTGCCATGAATACTATGAACTATGACCTCTTTCGAGGGTGTGCCTTTTGTTGGAAGTTGTGTAATCCCAGAACAATAGCAGGCCAAAGCGCGATCTCCTTGCTTTCAATTTCCCTTTGGCTACACGAACCCTCGTGCAGCGTCAACAAAGGTTGAGCTACAAGTTGGCGCCATTTGCATGTTCCGCTGTGTCGGATTACAAACGAAACGTTATCATATTTGGTAACAACTGCTATGCAGGCCCTGTTTTTGGCGCAGTGGTTGAGCGTCGGACTCAGTGTTGAGGTCTTGGATTCATCTCCCTTTGGTGGCGCTCGATAGTTTTGTTCTATCCTCATAATTTATCCACTTACCACTCTTCCGCAGTTGCGCATTGGTGTCATGCTAAAGAGGATAGTTGTCTTGGTGGAATGCCGAAATTATTGCTTCGGTCTTTAAAACTTCTCTCAAGCAGCGTCCAGTTAAGCTCCGTTTCCCTTTATGGCGGACCAAAAGGGGCGGTATTAGCCACCCCGTTAAATCAAACGCTGTTAACATCGTAGCTATGCGCCCGTCTCAAATGTAGTGTCAAACTCATATGGCGTGGGATTGGCGTCAGCAGCTAGTAGCACCCATGTAAGTTCATCATAAACCATGTCAATCGGACGATCGGCGTTCAGGCGTCTGGTGTCTCTGTGACGTACCATTCCTGGCTTTGCGTTTTCGCTGCACTCTTCTCGTCGCCGGATTCTTCACCAGCTTTCTGACAAAGAGGGGTAGACACACCCAAAAAGCCCGTCACTTTTTATTTCTGTGCTGATGTAGGTTTTCTTTTTTTCTTGCGAATTATTGCTTAGAAGGAACAGAATTAAGAAACGAAGACTATAGCCCTTCCGCCTCTTGGCACAGTCAGCTAGAAGTGTACGCCTCCAACCCGACTCTCCGTCACCAACTATCCAGTGCCAAGTCACCAAGTAGAGGTGCGCGTTGATGCGAATTATTTTTATTTGTTTAATTATTCATGACTTAACTCCACATCGCTGCCGTTTATTGAGGCAACACAGCGCCGCTGACGCCACCTGCCGCCGAGCGAAAAAAGCGCTCAGATTTTTTTACGCCGAACCGTTTCGGTGTACCCGTGACCGCCCCATTAGATAGTGATTGCGTCCCGTTTCGAGTTATAAATAAAATGTTCCATTACTTTTTCAGTTTTCTTCCGGTTTGCTTAAAGGAAATGGATCAAGTTTTCGCTCCGAGGTCGGGTTCGATTAGACACTTTCGTAAAAACCTCGCCTAAACATTCCAACGATTCCTTCTAATTCCAGTTAGCTCGTTTTTTGTAAGTGTAATTCAAATATTTTGTAATTCAAACATTCAATTACCGTGATTTTTACTAATCAGTAAGCCTCGCTTCAACTACATATTCAATTAATGATGTTTCATCATGACTAAAAACCTATATTTACCTAGTTTTCTATACAAAAGGAGCCAACGTGTGTAGTTCTTTATTTTTGATATCTTAGAAAACAGCCTAATCTTCTGGGCAGCATCTTTTATTAAAGATCAACATTTTTTAAGGCGAAGTCATTAACTTTGCCTGCGCGGTTAACGCGAAGGCATTAACGGCGAAAATTATGCAAGGATCTGGTGGTGGCTGTACCCAGGCAGCACACCAATGTCGGACCTACATTGGGCCAACAATGGCAAACGCTGGCTCCGGAGGTTGGTCCAACATTGGTATTCTGGCCGAGCGCAACTTCTTCCAATGTTGGCCCAGCCATTGGCACCAACGTTGGGCCATCGTTCAACCAATGTTCCAGCCATCATTGGCGCCAACGTTGGGCCATCGTTCAACCAACCTTCCAGCCGTCATTGGCGCCAACGTTGGGCCATCGTTCAACCAACGATCCAGCCATCATTGGCACCTTTTTTAGGCCATCGTTAAACCAATATTTCAGCCATCGTTGGCATCCACACTATGTCATTGGCTATGCCAATTTTGGCTTTCACACTAATTCAATGGCTATGCCATCATTGCTATACAAGTTCAATCATTGAATAGGCCGTTATCGGCAGTCAAGCTGATTCATTGGCATGTCTCAGTGTTAATGCCATATCTTTAATGCTGGCTATGCAATGATGGCAATGTGTTTAACTCCTGGTTATTCCAACATTGGATTTTAAGAACCCCTGGCCTGTTTCTTACTAGCAGCCCACTGCAAGAAAAACATTCTGGGCACAAATGGCAAGGTCCTCCTATGCTTTGTCTGTTCACTATTTTATCTGGCGAGCAAATGACTAATTCAAGATCAATTAATACTTTTTTCGGAACTTTTATTGAAAGGGGCTAGGGAGGAAGCTCAGCGGGGAGCCTATGCCTGGTCCTGGGGAAGGTCCTGGGGCGAGTCCTGGGGCTGGGGAGCAATTACGGCTTCCGAACGCCTCTTCCTGCAGCCTCCCCTGTCGCAAGACCCTGGCAGCCACTTCAGCACCATTTTTAAGCTGCCGATTCTTCAATTGTTAGCTTCGCACTGATGGCATCTACGAAAAGATCCAAAGGTCAAAGATCACCGCTTTCAAACCCACATTGGTCTTAGTAAAGCACACTCCCAAGCAGCACGTCAACAAATGTTAAGGTTTGAGTGTCCCCTAAAAAGTCCCTCGCTCACGACTTTTCAGTCCTTGCGGCGTAGCACCCGTGGTAGCCGATGATCAGGGGTCTACGACGTCAGGGCCGAGGTCCGGACGTAGTGACGAGGCAGTTGACCGAAGGCCGAAGGCTTGAATCAGGCCCCGTACGCCGGTGGCAGCCTATGACCAGGTGTCCGCCAAGGTCTGGGCCGAAGGACGTAGCGACGAGGCAGTTGGGCGTCGGCCGAAGGCTTGAGTCAGGCCCAGAACGTCTGTGGCACGGAGTGGCAGCGGGTGTTCAACTGCGCCACGCATGCAGTCTTGTCTACCTCCGGAAGGTTGACGCCCGAACTGCGTGAGAAGTGGGTTGCGGATCGGGCCTCTTGACGTCTGGTCACGCCGACGGAGGTCCGGCCTGGTCGCGTCTGCACCGTCCTTTGTCGACCGCCCGAATCCCCTCTCGCGCTCCTCGCATGCCCCCACCTCGTCTTCTTCTTTCTCGTCCTCTTCGGCTGGTCGCGGGATCGCTCATCACACCAGACTAAAGGCCGGTTCAGACACTTGCGTTTGAGTGCGTTTGACTGCGTTGCGGCGAGAACCGAAAGCGAGTCACCGGCACATCTGTGCTTCGTATGAAGCGTGGAATCCAATTCAAGGAATCTTCTTGGCACGCGATATAAGCAGCAGGGATGTCCTGGTGTCTCGCTGCCGCAACGCAGTCAAACGCAGTCAAACGCAACTGTGTGAACCGGGCTTAAGCCAATCAATTACCAACGTTGGTAGGCCACTGGCTAAGACAGGCAATTGATGGCCAGCTTAAACCAATCGATTGCCAACTTTGGTAACCCGTTGGCTCTATTACAGCTTATATTTCTGAGGGCGTTGTCACTACCGTAGACAGTACTGCAGTTGCCGTATTTTGTACGCACTTTGAAGTCATTTTTGTTCAAGCAGGCATAATGCTCAGCTTCTTCTGTTATATGTTGCGTGATAGCCTTTCTTTGCAGATTGAAATGCGCATCAGCTTTATGTAACCTCCTACCTCAAACATAGGGTGTTCGAGATGTTAATTCAACACAATTTTTTATTCGTGAAGACATGTAATTGCTTAATTAGTCGCTGGATATTTGTTTAAGGTTTTATTTTTTTGCTAAAATTATTAGTGCTTTTTATTTATTTTTTAATTTTGTCCGGTTCAGTCTGAATTATAGGCCGCGTTTTGCGGCTCAGGAAAGCGGGTTGCCTTGAGATTTTCAAGATCACATACAGCTGACAATATACCCGTGTCCTAGGTTGGGGAGGCGGGTGGAAATTTCGGGGTTGAACCCCCCCTCCCCCCCCCCCCCCCCTCTTTGGAAAGGTTTCCCGGCTGCGTCGCTAAATGGGCATAAGAGAAGAGGCACTATGCGTTTTGCCGTATAAACATATACACAAATCGAAAAAAGCGTGCATTTTGTATTTCGTGTGGAATTTACTAAGTATCAGTTTTGGGAAGACGCGTGTTAGTTATAGTCGGTGACAGGTGGTAGAAGCTCCTCCTATCTCTTTCCATATTTGTAGATCGAAAGATCACGAGGAGTCGACCTCCTCCCCAGCGTTTATTTTTAACCTGTCACCGAACACGGTTTTTTTCTGCGTGGACGTTCAAACTTGCTGCAGCTCGCAATGCATACAGCGTTCTAATTCAGTTGCTAACTTGCTCTGCGTGTGAAAACAAGAATCGTTCTCCCCGGAGGCATAGCTAGAGATTGTTCTCAGCGTGCGCGATCAGCACATTAAAAGAACTAAGCCAATTATATATAACATTGGTAAGCCACTGGCTAAGACAGGGCAATGTTGCCCAGCCTAAGTCAATCGATTACCAATGTCGGTAATTGATTGGCTTAAGCTGGCCAACATTGGCCTGTCTTAGCCATTCGATTACCAATGATGGCAACTCATTGGCTAACACAGACCAATGTTGGCCAGCATAAGCCAATTGATTACCAATGTTCGTAACCAATTGGCTAAGACAGGCCAATGTTGGTCAACCTAAGCCGACCAATTGCCAACGTTGCTAAGCCGTTGGCTGAGGTTGGCCAATATTGGCCAGTCTAAACCAATCGATTGCCAACGTTGGTAAGCCATTGGCTGAGGTAAGCCAATGTTGGCCAGCCTAAGCCAATCGAATGCCAACGTTGGTGACCCGTTGGTCAAGTCAGGCCAACGTTGGCCAGTATATTCCAGTGTGCCACCAATATTGGTTCTCCGATGGTCACATTGGCCCAATAATGGACTGTTGTTTGCCAATTAAATGCCAATGTTGGCCCGACGTCGTGTACTGTCTGGGTAACCGCGCAAAACATGCAAGAAAGTCCCAGGAGCCGGCGGCGTCTGTGATGGCACAAAACCGCGCAAAACGTGACACAAATTTTCAACGAAACGACTCCTATATTACCGTTCACCGGGACGCGCATAGTCCCCAGGAATGCCACGCCGCACAGAAGCCCTCTTTCTTACGCTGGGTGTGGGTGACAGGGGTTGCTTCTGCTCCTCTCGGCGGCGAGGAACATCGCGTCGCCTGAGGCATTTTAGGGTGTCCCAGGTCACTAAGCTCGATCTAAAATGAACCGTAAAAATCGACACCTGGGATCTAACATTTTCGTCAAAGGTGTATTTTACAAGTCGACATTTTCTGGTAAAATTACAAAGCGTAGCTTCCTTTCTGTAGAACATAGTGCCAAAAACCTAGCCAGGGTAAACGGCGGACGGCGACGCAGAGGGCCGAGTCGAGTTGCCGGGTGCGTTTGGCGCGTGTATTGATAATTTACGCCGGAAGCGGCGTCCGAAGGTGTAGCCGACCAGCGAAAAAAAGTGGGCGACACGCAGACGAAATTCGTTGGCAGCAAAATCGCCGTCGTTATGCAAACGCCCTTTTTTCTCTTGAAGTTTTGCTTTTAGGGTTAGCATTTATTTCTTTACCACAAGCAGATTACAAAAAGATCATGTTCATTTCAATAAACGACGGTGGTCGCGAGCAGTCTCACTAAGGAGATAGTGCCATCTATCATTACCAGCGCGAACCCGCCCCGCTACTTAGTTGTCTGCGTCGCCGCCCACCGTTGACCCTGGGAAATTTCTTGGCCCTATATTTTACAAAAAAAAAAAAAAAAAAAAGAGCTACGCTTTGTATATTTACCAGACAAAAACTGACATGGGAAGTGCACCTTTTGGCAAAAAGTTTAGATTGCTACCTGCAAGCGTCGATCTTTATGGTCCATTCTAGATCGAGTGCGGTGACTTGTGACAATCTATATATCGTCGGCGGCCGTAACCTCGCCAGCAGCGACACGTGGCCGTCCACGCCAGTCATTGCAGAGAAACTAAGGGAGCGGAAGAACGACATTCATGCTTTCGGATTCACAACTCATAAGAACTGCGTAGATGTCCTCGGAATTTAAAAGAGAATGGAGCCGCAAGTATCTGGAGATTGACAGTCAACATTGAAAGAAAGCACATTATTGTATGTACTGAAGGGAGAATTAAATTCCTAAAGCTCAACTGTTAACATACTGAAATTGAATTTTCTTTATAGGAACCAGTTGTTAACTGCACATACATCTGCGCCAAAGAACGGGCTTCTTACGAGCTCCCAGAGTATTATTACGGAATATATAAGACTCCTTCAAAATGCTGGGTAAGTTGAAATAAAACATTATTGCGAAAAAAATCTTTATTTCTTTAAAAATGATTAGAAATAGCATTATTGAATACATTAAACAGAATATACAAATCAAATCATAATTTTTACTCAATGTAAGCAAAAAGATCCGTTTTTGTTCGAATAAAATCTTGTCACAAATTATAATTCACAAACGATTGTCAAATATCGCGCAATTAACGAGGTATAAACTACTAACGATAAATCAACTAACAATCCACTATACTTTTCGACAAACACCGTCGCCGAATCCCATCTAAAAATGTAATACAGCACATGTTCATATTGTCATTCTGAAAAAAAAAAATAAAGATAACTCTGAATGTGTTACCGAACCGGCTCATTGGAGGGGCTGAATAGAAAATATGTGGATCGCTGTTTGCCTTGGATTAGCCACAAAATACAAAAAGGGAGAAACCGTTATTTTATTCACTTCCCTACTTTCCCAATACATTTTCCTCGAATAATTTCGTACATTAGATGCACTCGTATAGCACCAGATGGCTCAACATGAATGCATCCGACTAACGCGGTTCTGTCAAAGCTTAGAACAATAATTCAATGCCTATATAATAAGTTCACGCAGGGGTGTCCGAGTTAGCATCACACGGGCTCTTACATAGAGGCATCGGGTCAACACCTGGCCGATCCATCACTTTCTATAATCGTTTGTAGCACTCTGTGAATATTCAATTCAACATTTATATTGCGTTTTGGCTTAAAGAAGTCTCCAACGAAGAGCGTGCTTAGGGGCAGTCGTAGCATGGTGCCTCGGGTCCTTCGTCCTCATGTCTACGACAAAGAACGCACGGTTCTGTTATGTTCTTGTTTCAAGCACAGTATCTGCTCTAAGAACATTTCTCGGTTAATTTTTATTGGTAGCAATAATGCATCTATTTATTGATTTTAATATGTATGTGTCGTTGTAAAGAATAACACAATATATGAGTTTCAGAATAACACAACTATACATGTTTAATAAGCTTATATGTGTGAAGGTGTCAAAGAAAACAGTAGATAAAGGTATTTCAAGGCAATGTCACATAGGATCATTAAACAGCTCTTGATATTAGCTTAGATAAACTTCTGCCGCAATATCAGCCGCAATAGCTGTCACGGATAATCGTGTATAACAAGTGGCGGGTAGTTCGCTTTACTTTGCAATATTGATCACGGCAAGGGAAAGATAATTTTGGGTAACTGAGAAATGATGCCACCAAACATTTATGGGGATAAAAATGCAGAGCCACCAGAGAATGTAAAGCGACGTGCGATAAATTTTAAGTGAGCCCAATTTCACAATGCTGTGATAGTGCAAAGACACCAAATCTTACTAAAGAAAGAAAACACCCTATTTTTTATAAATTGTGTGTCGCTTATGATATAACCCTGGTAAGGACCCCAAATGGCTGAATTATGTTCAGTTTCTGCAGGCTTTACAATTATATTTACGAGTTTCCTCATCTGTACAGGAGCGTGTTTGAGTGAGCGCTTGAGGAGCTCGAGTGAATGGCTAGCAGATGCAAGAAAAGCTGCACACTATCTCGGCAGTTTGACATCGGCGAATCTATATTAAGATTAATGACTCCGTCGTTCCTTTCCGTGCTACTGTGGACGTGACTCGCAAGCAAATTTTGCGCGGAATCTTTAAGTCGGGCAAATAAATACAAAACTCTTTAATTAATACCTAAAATTCCAATACCTACACAAAATTTAAAATTTGAGTTCCGTCTTATAGCAATTGCCGCTAAAACTGAAATTGCCAAGATGGCCAATATAATCAATAGCTTAAAATTTAACATACTTAAAGTGTTAGCGCTCTCATATTCACAATTATCTTTCCACCTGATAAATGCCAACCACCGTATACCTGTATTGAAGACGCAATCAATATAACTGTTGCGACAATAACACAATTTTTTTTTGGGGGGGGGGGGAGGGGGGGGTCGCTCTTTAGTCACCTAGCTGTGTTTGGAGATTCGTTTTTGTCCGTTGTCCCCCTTGTTACCCTTCTCCAGGGATTATTATCGTCATTTTTGCCCAGCTCGCTTCCACCTTGGCATTAATTGTATTATCATCATAACATGAAAAATGCAGGACGTGCACCTTTCTTGTCGTTAGACCGGTGGCAACTGTTAAAACCGGTTTTCTCTACTGACGTCTAACTTCTGGTTTTCCTCTTCTCCGGGGATTATTATCGTCATTATTTTCTAGTTCGCTTACACCTTGTATTAATTCTATTATCATTCTAACTGTTACGCCTTTTCGTGTCAAATATATACTGGCCTTCCAATTTACCGGAATAGAGCGAAAGGCTTCGATATCCTAGTAATCCTAGTGTCGGCAGTGGCACAGCGAACAGAAACACTGACTGTTCTACTGTTTTGCTTCACATTCATAGGACTACGCAACGACGTCTTATCGAGCCCAGCCTTCGTCGACTCAAGAGAAGTGTGCCACATCATCACCGTCTGTGGAGCGGCTGCCTGGGACGTCATCAGCACGTGACCACCATCCGTGCTAGAAAAGCGCACCATCCACGAACTGTACTTCCAGTCGGCAGTGGCACAGCGAACAGAAACACTGACTGTTCTACTGTTTTGCTTCACATTCATAGGACTACGCAACGACGTCTTATCGAGCCCAGCCTTCGTCGACTCAAGAGAAGTGTGCCACATCATCACCGTCTGTGGAGCGGCTGCCTGGGACGTCATCAGCACGTGACCACCATCCGTGCTAGAAAAGCGCACCATCCACGAACTGTACTTCCAGTCGGCAGTGGCACAGCGAACAGAAACACTGACTGTTCTACTGTTTTGCTTCACATTCATAGGACTACGCAACGACGTCTTATCGAGCCCAGCCTTCGTCGACTCAAGAGAAGTGTGCCACATCATCACCGTCTGTGGAGCGGCTGCCTGGGACGTCATCAGCACGTGACCACCATCCGTGCTAGAAAAGCGCACCATCCACGAACTGTACTTCCAGTCGGCAGTGGCACAGCGAACAGAAACACTGACTGTTCTACTGTTTTGCTTCACATTCATAGGTGAGTGCGGCTGCACCTACATAAAGCCTTTCCTTTCTCTTTGCCACTGCCGACTGATTTGACTGCTTTGAGTGTTTTGTGCTTCTTGCGCGGTTCGCCTATCATGAGCTCTGATTGTGCTGAGGTTATGAAAGCCATTCAGGATTTGAAGCGCGAGATGCGTGCAGAACTACGATCAGTACATCAGAGCCTTGAATACAGCTCGAATGCTGCTGACGAATTCAAGAAAGCCTTAACGGAGCTACGCGCTCTTACATCTGAAGTGAAGAAGGCCAAGGAAGACTATGCTGAGCTAAAGAAAGAAAATAACACCCTAACAGAAAAGTTGATGAAAGCTGAAGCACGGATTTCTGAGTTGGAACAATACAGCCGGTTGAATAACGTTGAGATTAAGGGCCTGCCTGCCACTGTCAGAGAAAGAGCACACGACATGGCTATAAAAATCGTAGAGGCTATCGAAGTCCCACTTGACCTTGCTGAAATCGACATCGCCCACAGCGTTCCAACCAAAAAAGAAAACGAAGTAAACATAATTGTCAGGTTCATGTCTAGGTCAAAGCGCAACGTGTTCCTGGCCGCTGCCAAGAAGCTGAAACTGTCTACTTCTAAAATCGGGTTCGAAGGACCAGACCAGCGTGTCTATGTTAATGAGCATCTAACGCCAGAAAACAAACGGCTACTTGGTGCTACGATTTCTAGAAAGAAACAAGTATCTTGGAAGCACGTGTGGACAAGGAATGGCGCTGTTTTCGCACGGAAGACAGACGACTCTAATGTCCTCCGGATCTATTCTCTGATTGACTTGTCCAAAATGACGTAAATGGCGCCATTGTTTCATAGATTTATTACCTGATTCTTTATACCCTCATGAATGACACCCCTCTTTTCACACCTTCTGAGTTTAATGCGTCTATAGCACTAGATGCGAATAAATATATTCAAGTTATACATCTTAACATGCAATCTGCCGTGAATAAAGCTGATGAGCTAACTGTCCTCTTAGACGATCTAACGCGTTCCTCGTGTTCTTTCGATGTCATTTTCTTGTCTGAAACTTGGTATCGGGCTGATAGTGATGTTGTACGTATTCCGGGGTATAATTCTTTTTATATCAATCGCACAGAAAAGCGTGGCGGGGGCGTAGCTATGCTGATAAAAAGTAGCTATGCCTGTGATATGTTATCTGATCACTCTTTTTCCAACTCTGATATTGAAATGCTTACCGTGAAATCTGGACGTAATATATTTTCGGTTGTCTATCGACCACCTCATGGAAACTTTGGCGAATTTTGGGAGATATTTGAACGTGAAACGTTTTTATTTAGTTCTGAAAATTATTTGTCCATCATAGCTGGCGATTTTAATATTGATATGGGTACGAATAGCCCAATGCAACAGCAAATGTTACTCACACTTCATTCAACAGGTTTTCAAAATGTTATTAACAGTCCAACGCGCATTACAGCTTCTTCTGCTTCCACTTTAGACTTAATTATTACTAATAATGACAACGCATTCTTTTCCGGTCGCATCGCTGCCGATATTAGCGATCACTTACCTGTTTTCTTGCGTATAGAAAAAGCAACTTGTTCGAACGATGTCGCTAAATTGAGACGCCAGCTAATATCTCAAGAAAGGCTCGACCTATTTAAGTACCGTATTTCCTTGGTGGATTGGAGCCCTATTTATAATGAGCCAGCTGCAGATGATGCTTTTAACAGGTTTCTAGAGCTCTTCACATCAGTATATAATGAATGTTTTCCCACTGTAGAAATAAAACCATGCAAAAGTGCGCGTAAACCATGGATGACTAGACGTTTAATTAGACTCGTTAAAAAGAAATACAAATTATTTGCAATATTTATTAAAAACAAAAATCCTACCGTGCTCGCAGAATATAAGTCCTTACGCAACCGACTAAACAGGGAAATTAAATTGGCGAGAAACATGTATTATAATAATTTCTTTGGTCGCCAGACTTCTAGCAATCTTAAGGAAAAATGGAGGCGTCTAAATTTGCTCCTGAATAGACATACTAATACCCAAGCGATCACAAGCTTAACGGTTAATGGAACTGAGCTATCGGGTTCAGATCTCGCTGCATCATTCAATTACTTTTTTTCGACTGTAGGTGACAGTCACTATAATTCCGGCATTTTTGATTTTCTAAGTGATAGGTTAACAGAATCAATATTTTTTGAACCGACTGACGAGCTTGAGGTTTTTTCAATTTTCAAAAGTCTGAAAGATACGAATAGCCTCGACTCTCATAATATACAAAGTCGCCCAGTAAAATATGTTTTACAAATAATTACACCATGTCTAACACATATTTATAATGTAGCGCTTATGACGGGACACTTTCCAACAGCTATGCAGCTAGCCAGAGTAGCCGTAATTTATAAAAAAGGAAATAAGAACGACTTCGGTAACTATAGACCAATATCTATACTTCCGTTTTTTTCTAAAGGGTTAGAACGAATAATTCATCGCCGCCTCAATCATTTCTTCTTAAAGCATTCTGTAATATTCGATTGCCAATATGGGTTTACTAAAAATAGATCAACGGAACACGCCTTGCTTGCCCAAAAAGAATATATTTTGAACAATTTTGAATCACAACGTCTTACTCTTGGCATTTTTATTGACTTTAGTAAGGCATTCAATACTGTAAATCATAAAATACTTATCGCTAAGCTCGAGCATTACGGCGTACGAGGACACGCCCTCAACCTTATAAAATCATATTTAAGCTCACGATTACAATATGTTGTAATAAACCACTCTCGCTCCGATTCCCTTCAAATTTTTAATGGTGTCCCTCAGGGTAGCATCCTTGGACCACTCTTGTTTAATATATATATAAATGACATTTCCAATATTAGTACCCTTGCAAAGTACGTTATTTACGCTGATGATACGAGCCTTTTCTTTTCCTCCTCTGACGTTGAACAACTAACTGGCACTGCTAACCGAGTATTGGCATTATTATCACGGTGGTCATTAGTCAACTCATTGAAAATCAACAAAGAAAAAACTAAAGCTGTAATATTTCGTCCTAAAGGAAAGCTTGTAATGCACCCACCGCCTTTAGTTTTGAGTGACACCATTATCGAGTATGTAGAAACGTTTAGATCCCTCGGTGTAAGTTTTACCGCAACGATGACATGGGACGCCCACATAAACGAGGTTTGTCTTGCCCTTTCTAAGGTTGTAGGAATAACCTCGCGTAATAAGTACGTTCTACCTGAAAAAACTAAACTTACTTTGTATTACGCTTTCTTTTATTCATATTTAAGCTATTGTTTTCTTGTCTGGGGTAATACCACAACATCCAATATTCAGAAGCTTCTGATCTTGCAAAAGAAAATGCTACGTGCTATTACAAAAGCTCCATATAATTCCCCAACCGGGCAGGCTTACTCGCAGTTTAAAATTGTGCCTGTATATAATTTATTTGAATATAGATTCGCGTGTTTTTACAAAAATAGTATAGCTAAAAACGATAATTTTCTTTCACGTATTGTTTTTACTGTGCCCCACAATACGCCTTATGCAACCAGGGAAAAAGACAGCTTTGTTTTACCTAGATGTAGAACGAACTATGGCTTTACAATGTTGCGATATATCTTGCCTAAGTTTTTGAATACTCCTCTATGTGATCACTTGAATGGTATGTCTTCTTCTGTTCTTAGGAACGCTTTTCTATAATTTGTCTGTACTTCTCATTTTTGTCTGTGTTGTTCATTTTGTATATATATATTATTTTTTACCGCGTTTACACTGCTGACTTGTAAGGGTGGCGAGGCCCGTCAAGCAGTGGACGACACTGCTTTTTTCTTGCCACCCTCAGTTTGTATTTCAAGCTGAAATAAACGCTGATTGATTGATTGATTAATTCAGTTATTAATCTATATGCGACATCTAATCCTTAAAGGTAATGCTTACGACCGAGTGTGTTCAAACCTTTCGCGATTACTGACGACCAGAGAACACGTTGAAATATTTTATCGTGTAACCCTGGACTACTTGCGATTTTCGTATTTTTTTTTTTTTTTAGTATCATAATTTTTGCTGGTTTGAAAATCTTTTGAAATTGTTATAAAAGGACAATTTCCCATGGATAGCATGTAGTGTGCTTTCCTGTCGCGAGGGATCTAAAGAAGTCGGTCGTGAGCAAAAGCAAGTGCATAAACTAGCGTTTACCTTTAAAAGTTACATACCCTTAAATAAAACCACTTTTGTCCGTTTCCATTAGTATAAAAAGCTTTATATAAATACATTTTTGTTCTTCCAGCTGGGAAGCGAGGTCGGCGTATGCGTAAGTGGGATATGCCATAGCGGAAAAGACTTCCCACAAATTGATCAGGGTCCTCAGCAACCTCCTCAATAAAGGAATCTCTGGCACCCAAGCAGTTCATCTTGAATTACTGATACGATTTGCACACTCACAGCGCGACACTATATACTGCACAATACGTCGAAGAGTTCAATCAACTGAGTAGTATAACTGAGAAGCCTAGACCTTTCTTTACTCACCGGGCTAGTTATTTTTCAGGTCTTAACCGGAGAACAATTTAGACAATAATGTTTGACCTCCCCTCAATTTTGAATCGATCAATTAATCAATCAGTGTCCAGTAAATACCTGTCGGTTTTTGCGCTGGCTCTTTAATAAAAAATACTCTTCTACACTTGCAAAAAATGAGTCGTTTAAAAATCGCTATAACGCCAAATTAGAGCGCGGATCTTGAGGAAAAGGAGCAAAGGGTACGTCTCCCCTCTTCCTCTCCTCCACCTCCCCCCTAATCCTCCCCGTCCTTGTCCTCCCCTCCTCCACTCCTCCTGCCACTGCATTTGTTAATGCGGGACGTCACACGAAGTCGTTGACGCCATTTTCTCCGCTAAATGTAGCGGGGAAACTGAATTTGTTGAGGTCACATGAGGTCAATTTTACCGTAAATTTAGCGTGGAAACTTAACCCTCTGAATATACCGATTCAATTTTTTTACTAAATTTAGCGGGAGAATTCCTCCGCTAAACTTAACGGGGAATGTTCCCCGCTACGTTTAGCGAGAAAATCTTCCGCTGAATTTAGCGAAAAAATCTTCCGCTAAATTTAGCGAGAAATATTTCCTCTAAATTTAGCGAGAAATATTTCCTCTAAATTTAGCGGAAATATTTCCCCGTTAAATTTAGCGGGAAATTTTCTCCGTTAACTTTAGCGGGGAAACGTGCCAGAATTCACCGCGCGCGGTTACGCCTATGGCGACGCCGCTCGAGCCGGAAATGGGTGCCTAAGATCTGCGCTCTAAAACTAAAAAACTCAACTTCAATGCAGCATCTCTGTCCAGATGTTTCATACCAACATAATGCCAGATTTAGAGGGTAATTCAAGATTCAAGACACGAAGTTCAGAACATAAACAATGAAGATATTTTTCTTTGAAGCAAGTAGAAAAAATGGTATTGCCTTCTAAATTATTGTTTCACTCGTTTTCTAGCATGATGAGCACGTTTCTAAAAAGGTGATGAAACATAGGGCAACCCGTGCTAAAAATATCAAGTTTGTCATAGTAGTTATTACAAAACTCAGCCGATCTATGGATTGAGTTTAATTGTCAAGAATGCCGAGAGATGTAAAAATATGACTTGATTCGTGTGGGCGCAAAAAGCACTGCGATAGCCGTGTCCTCCTAGGGCAACAAACAACAGACAGCGACACACGGAAACGAGCGAGAAGCGCCACCGACATAAAACCTGTTCGTCGTAGTCTGCCATCCCACCTGGCGGACACGACGCAGAACAGGGGGACAAGGAAACTGGTTTCCTGCTGGGAATAGAGTTGCCAACAAAAAACTTCGAGATACACAGACGGAACGTTAGTCAACGCTGCCCAGGGAGTACAGAGTTCTGGGCCAAAATTATCGCTTGTCTGGGAGTTTAGGGCATAGAAATGCCCGAAGATGCCAAAGTAGAGCCAAATCTGACCTTTCTAGGCTAGAGTCTGGGTATATTGGCCCTAATTCTCCAAACAAGTGCCAAACTTAGACTTCACTGCCTGGTAGTTTGGCAGTCATCTCGCATCGTTTTGCTTAAATCGCCTAACAAATGCCAGAGTTATGCTTACTGCCCGGTAGTTTGGCTGATATTTTGCATTTTCATGCCGAAATCGCCAAACAAATGCCAAAGTTAAGCTTCAATTTTTGATAGTTCGGCTGTCATCCAGCACCTTCAGGCCAAAATCGCCACAGATGTGCAAGAGTTAGGCTTACTGCCTTGTAGTTCGGCTAACATCTGGCATATTTGGGCCCAAGTCCCCAAACAAGTGCCAAAGTTAGGCTTCGCTTCCTGATAGTTCGGCTGTCAGCTGGCAGCTGCGGGCCAAAGTCACCAAACAAGTGCCAGAACTAGGCTTAATTACTGCCTTACAGTTTGGCTTTTGAGGTATTGGATGTACGTGGGTGGTCAGCAATTTAATTAAATAGAAATCAAGTTTTATTCTGCTCGCAACTTTTGATTTTATTTTGGTTGTCTCTTGATTTCTCCTGGCCAAAGGTGGGCTTAATGTTTTGCCGCGTCTGAACCACGCTTTGCAAACACAGATTTCGCCAGAGTGTTGTATACGCCCGTGGGTACGTACGCCAATATCGGGACGCGCAGTGAGACTGGTTCGATGTTGTAGGAACTGCTGCCATCGAGCAAACGCTGCTCAATACTGATGTGCGCACGTCTCCTCAACAGAAATCATTATTAGGAGGCGCATTGCAAAAGCAAGCGTAGCTCTGTGCGTGTCTTGTATTGTGACTGAGCACTGTCAAATCTGAGCGATAACAAAAAGCGAGAGAGACAGTGGCTCTATGCAATTGCGCCCGCTTCGCATTAGGGGAAACTAAGATAGAATACTGCAGGGACAATTTTTTAAAAAGTTAATTTAAAACATTTGATAGCATCAACCTATACTTCGTTTCAGCTTCGGTCCGAGCGCGGCCGATGTTATGAGCCGAAGGGCCAATCAAACAGCGAAACAGGCACAACGTCATGGCTTGCTCTCTGCAGTTGATAGGACCAGCCGATATTCGCCGTGTCTTTGTGCGTGCTCCTCCGCCGGCTAGTTCTATCAGGCACAGAGAGCACGCCATGACGCTGCGCTTTTTGCGCTGTTTGACTGGCCCTTCGGCTCATAACATCGGCCGCGCTCGGACCGAAGCTGAAACGAAGTATAGAAACTCCTTTCCCGCAGAGTCGTTCACTCCCCGCCCTTCCCGCCGCTCCCCCCCCCCCCCCCCCCTCCCCCCGCCACCCTAACAAAAGGTGACATCTCAGGCCTCGGGTACGAGTCATGGAATGTCTTCACTTTCAGTCGAAATGGCAGAGGACGCTTAGCAGCATTAAGTTCCTGCTCCTTCGACTTCGCCTTTTGCTAAGCCTCAACCCTGCTTTTGTGTGTTCGTGTGGCTGTCAGCAAGCGCGGCGGCCACATTAAGCAAATCATATGGGTGGAGCGAAACGTCTGACCTCACTCCGTAGGACGCGTAGTACAAAAGCGCTATACTTCGTTTCAACTTCGGTCCGTGCGCGGCCGATGTTATGAGCCGAAGGGCCAATCAAACACCGCAAAAAGCGCAGCGTCATGGCGTGCTCTCTGCGCGCGATACGACTAGCCGGCGGAGGAGCACGCACAGAGGGACGGCGAATACCGGCTGGTCCTATCAACAGCAGAGAGCACGCCATGACGTTGTGCCTCTTTCGCGGTTTGATTGGCCCTTAGGCTCATAACATCGGCCGCGCTCGGACCGAAGCTGAAACGAAGTATAGAAACTCCTTTCCCGCAGAGTCGTTCACTCCCCGCCCTTCCCGCCGCTTCCCCCCCCCCCCCCCTCCCCCCGCCACCCTAACAAAAGGTGACATCTCAGGCCTCGGGTACGAGTCATGGAATGTCTTCACTTTCAGTCGAAATGGCAGAGGACGCTTAGCAGCATTAAGTTCCTGCTCCTTCGACTTCGCCTTTTGCTAAGCCTCAACCCTGCTTTTGTGTGTTCGTGTGGCTGTCAGCAAGCGCGGCGGCCACATTAAGCAAATCATATGGGTGGAGCGAAACGTCTGACCTCACTCCGTAGGACGCGTAGTACAAAAGCGCTATACTTCGTTTCAACTTCGGTCCGAGCGCGGCCGATGTTATGAGCCGAAGGGCCAATCAAACACCGCAAAAAGCGCAGCGTCATGGCGTGCTCTCTGCGCGCGATACGACTAGCCGGCGGAGGAGCACGCACAGAGGGACGGCGAATACCGGCTGGTCCTATCAACAGCAGAGAGCACGCCATGACGTTGTGCCTCTTTCGCGGTTTGATTGGCCCTTAGGCTCATAACATCGGCCGCGCTCGGACCGAAGCTGAAACGAAGTATAGGAAGAATATTTCTCACGTGACTCTCTCTGCTGCGCTGGTGGGCTTTCTGGGGCTATTCTTTGCGCCGACTGCAAAGTTAGAGAAATAGACGGGCCTTGCAGGTCCGGTTTCCGAAATGCGTTCTTCAGTGCTTTTTTGCTTTCGTCTGTTGCAGACGCGGCCGTGCTCTTTGGTTGCAAATTGCCGCAATACTTGCCAGCCAATTTTTCCGCAATTATATTTTTTTTTTCGCCGGAGTCACTGGAACTCTTGTGCTGTGTTTGTTGGACGCGCTTTGACAAAAACTGCTCCTCGCCGACGAGGAACGTCAGTTGAATGTGCGCAACCTTCTTTTTCGACTGTGTTTTTTGGGCTGCCCGGGTCGGAATATGCATCTATGAAGAACTTCATGATATCGCTTTCATTAAGAAGCCCACTGCAAGCATGCTGCTGATGGTTGCTCTGCTTTCCTCTAAATTTTCGCGGTTTTTTGTGTTTTAATTTATGAGTTTTGCTTGGCATAAAATCAGTGTTAATTATATTTTATAATTTGATTTTCATTTTACAAATGTGTCGAGAATAAGCTGTCTGTAATGATAGTGATTTAATAAACTTTTTGGAGCGTTCGAAAAATGTTTGTTCGTCTGTGCATGTTGTTGATATGCGACAAATGATATTGCCGCGCGCAGGGCTGAGAAAGCAACGCTCGGTCACGGACCTCCAGAAAGTTCCCGTTTATTCATGTAGCGCACGTAACTTCTATTATTTATATCCATGTATCTTCTGCTTTTGTTTTCTAGAAAGTGCGTGTTCATTCTCGCCCCGATCACGCGACGCTCGAGCCGCTTTCGCCGAATCTTCGAGATAGCGACGCACTCTTGATAAGAGGCCGCCCGCGACCTTGTCGAGTCAGTCTCGCCCCAGCGTTCGACTCTGCTGCCACGCCGAATTCGACGCCCGCGACGCTCTATTATTATCTTTTGTACTCTTTTATTTTTCGGCACAAGTTCGCCACATTAAACGTTTATTT